GGGGTTTTTTACTGCCCTATTTTTGTGTTAAATAGTTATTTTTTTTCCTAGTGTTCTATTTTCATTCCATTTGGGCTTTGGAATTTTTTTTTTTGTACTGGGAATTGAACCCAGCATTGCTGTACCACTTAACTGTGTGAAATTTGTGTCTTTGTATCTAAAATATGTTCCCCATAGATGGCATAAAATTGGATCTTGTTTTTCATCCATTTTGACAATCTGGATGCTTTTTTTTTTTTGGTACCAGGGATTGAACTCAGGAGCACTAGACCACTGAGCCACCTCCCCAGCCCTATTTTGTATTTTATTTAGACACAGGATCTCACTGAGTTGCTCAGCACCTCGCTTTTGTTGAGGCTGGATTTGAACTTATGATCTTCCTGCCTCAGCCTCCTGAGCTGCTGGGATTACAGGTGTGCACCACTGCACCCAGTCTGAATGCTTTTTGATGGGAATATTTAATTTGTTTTTATTTAACATAAATTTAGATGAAGTTGAATTTACATTTACCATTTTAATACCTGTTTTCTACATATTTATGCCATTTTTGTTTCATAGTTTTTTGGGGTTTTTTACTGCCCTATTTTTTTGTGTTAAATAGTTATTTTTTTTCTAGTGTTCTATTTTCATTCCATTTGGGTTTTGGAATTTTTTTTTTTTGTACTGGGAATTGAACCTAGCATTGCTGTACCACTTAACTACATCTCCAGCCCTTTTTAATTTTATTTTTTAAAATTTAAGAGAGGGTCTTGCTAAGTTGCTGAGGTTGGCCTCAAACTTGTAATAGTCCTGCCTCAGTCTCCTGAGTTGCTGTTATTACAGGCATGCACCACCATGCACACCTCTTTATTTTATCTTTGAAGTTATTTTTTAGTGATTGCTCTAGAGATTATAACATGTATCTTAATTTATCACAATCCTTCCCAGATTAATACTAACCTAATTTCAACAAAGTATAGAAACTGCTGCTCCAATATATCTATTTCTTTGCACTTTCCCTATACAGGTATTGCTATTATTATATGTATTAAATAGTCATACAGGGCTGGGGTTGTGGCTCAGCAGTAGAGAGCTCACCTAGCACGTGCAAGGCGCTGATTTGACCCATAGCACCACATAAAAATAAATAAATATATTGTGTCCACCTACAACTAACTAAATATATATATATATATATATATATATATATATATATATATGAAAATAGTTATACAAGTATCACAACAGTTTTATAATTTTGATTTTCTCTCTTAAATAAATTCATGAAATAAAAGAAAAAATACATTTTATATAGCCTTTTATGTTTACCTAAGTTACTGTTTCCAGTACTTCTCCTTATAGATTCAAATTACTATCAGATACAATTTCCTTTTAGTCTGAAGAGTTTTATTTGGCATTTTTTGTAAAGAAAGATGGCTAGCAGTCATCACTTACCTATAACATTATTTGACTTTGACTTTTGAAGATTAATTTTGCCAGATATAGAATTCTTGATTGACTGTCTTTTCATTTAGTACTTTGAATATGGCATTCCATTGCCTTATGACCTTCATTGATCCTAATGAGAAGTCAGTTGTTAACTTTATGATTGTTCCCTGTACTTGATAAGTCATTTTCCTTTACCTGCTTTCCAGATTTTCTGATTGGCTTTCAAAAGTTGACTATGATGTGTCTATGTGTTTATGTTACTTAGCATTCAACAGTATAGATTAATATTCTTAATCAGATTTGAGATGTCTTTGACCATTATTTTGTCAAAAATTTTCCTACCCAACTTTCTCTCTCTCCTCTTCATGATTCCCACTGAATGTATATTGATATGCTCAATATTGTCTCAAATGTCTCTGTCATTTTTCTCCATTCTTTTCTCTTCTTTCTTTCTGTACTTCAGATTGGATAATATCTAATAACCTGTCAACAAGATTGCTGATTATTCAACCATCTCAAATATGCTCTTGAGAGACCTTCTAATGAATTTTTCATTTCAATTGTACTCTTAAACTCCAGAATCTACCATTTGGTTCTTTTTTATTATTTCCATATCTTTATTCATTTTCTTTATTCAATCAGTCATTGCATTAGCCATGGTTTTTCAGAGGAACCAATAGGAACTATAAATATGCATATATACATATAAAGATATTTTATTATAAGAGATTGGCATACACAATAATGAAGGTTAATAAGTTCCAAAATCTGTCAGGAAGTTAGAGACCCAGGAGAGCTGGAAAGGCAGTTCCAGTCCAAAGGAGTCAAATACAAGATCCAAGACAGTTGATGTGTCAGTTTGAGTCAAAAGCAGGGGGGAAAAGAAAAAGACTGATGTGCCAGCTCAAAACATTCAGGTGAGAGGAATTCCACCCTACTTGAAGAGGGTCAGTCTTTTTGGTTCTATTCATGCTTTCAACTGTTTGGCTAAGCCCCACCCACATTGGGGAGGGCAGTCAGTTTTACTAAGTCTACTAACTCAAATATTAATATAATTCAGAAACTCCCCCAAAGACACACCCAGAATAATTCTGAACAAATGTCTGGCACTCTGTCAAGTTGACAGAAAAAATTAACCATTATAATCATTATCATCATATTTTCCTTTAATTCTTTAAGCATGGTTTTCTTTAGGTTTTGTTTTTCAACATACTTAAAACAGTTTCTTTGAAGCCTTTGTCTGCTGAGTCTAACATCCATGCCCCTCTGAGATAGCTTCCATTAACTGAATTTATTTATGTTTGTGGATCATACTTGTCTCTTTATATACATATCTTATAAACTCTTGTTATAAAGTGGACATTTTAGACACTATATTGTAGCAACACCTAATTTTTATTTTCTATTATTTTTATTGTTTTGTTGTTGTTGTTGTTTAGTGTCTTGGTTGAACTAATTAATTATGTAGAATGTGTCTACCTTGCAGAGTCAGCCACTAAAATCTATGTCAGTATTTTCCTCTATTTTTAAATCTGGCTTCCTATGGGTTGTTTCTAGATCAGCATAGCTTCATGTTCCAATAATGATTGGTCTGAAGTTGCACTCAAACATCTTGAACCTTCCATCCTTTACCAATGAACTTCTGTTGAATTGGGGAACACATTCAAAATTCATGTGGTTTATAAATTTGACCCAACTTTCACTTTCTCCCAGGCCTTTTCATGTCTCTTCTATAATGGGCACAAACTTTGCATTCAACCAGGAATATATAAGTTGTTTCTCATACTCCTTCTAAGATAACCAGTGACAAATGGGAGCTCCTCAAGACCCACTGTGACTGCCTCATTTCCTGACCTCCCAGTTAAATTTGGACTACTCTGTTGGCCTGTTGCTTGCCCCAGTACTCAAGATAGTTATGACATTGGCCTTCCTCCTTTGTTTGCCACATGGTCATTACAGTTTTTTATCACACTCCAAGGCATGGGATTTTCCCCATGCTCTGCTCCAAATCACATTAGCCCCCCTCCAGCAGGGGATCTGATGTTTGTGGAGCTTGACCCACTCTGGTGGAGTTTAGCCAAGAGAACTGGGTGAAGGAGTGAGAATAGCCTTAATAACAATGCCACAATCTTCCATGACTCATATCTGAGGTTCAGTCATTTTTTTCCCAAATAAACATTTTGATGTATGTATTTGGTTAATTTTTGGAATCCTGAAATTGTTTCTTTGATAATTTTGTTCAGTATTATCATTGTCTTTTGGGAAGGGATTTGCTAAGCTCCTCACTCTGCCATTTCAAAAGTCCTACCCCTTTTGACCTTCACCCAGTTCCGTCAAATTGACTTCCTACATATCTCTGAAATCCATTCTTTTATCTTTATCTCCATTACCGCCTCTTAGCCCTAGCTATTCTCATCTCTTGGCTGAACTATTTATAATTGTTTCCTTAGTAATCTTCCCTCATCCTAAACTGTTTTCCATATTAAATCCAGAGTAATGTTGACCAAAGGCATTTTCTGATTATGTTACACTCCTCTCCCTCATCTTTGTTTAAAACTTTTCACTGAGTTCCCATTGCTCTTAAGATAAAGATCTTTTTAAATCCCTGACCTTTTCTAAGAGGACCTGTGTTTTCTGGATGCCCTCTCTTGACCCACTGTCTTTCTCTCTGTTCTGGAATTGTCCCATTTCCCTTCCTTCCTTAGGGCCTTGCCCATGCTTTTTCTTTTGTTGTAAACGTCTCAATCCTTCATCTGATTACCTAACTCACTTATCCTACAGATCTCTGTGCAAACATCACTTCCTTGGAGAAAGTATCCCTGATTTAACCCTGTGACTGATCCAAGTATAGTTTACTTCTTAGCACTAATTGTAAGTGTAAGTTCACATTTATGGAGTGATTTTCCCCTCTCCCTGAATTGTAAGTTCCATGAGAACAACAGCCATGTTTTTCCTCTGTACTCCCAGTCTTTATCCCATAGTATATGCTCAAAATTGATGTGGTGCACAAACAAATAATGAATGCATGTGTGCATTAACTAACATACAGTACCTTATGACAATTCAGTATTATTATCAAAATAGGTATAAAAGCAAAGTTCTAAACCTAACATGGTTGAGAAAAATATGTTTAAAATATGTAACCTAAAGGACATTTTTATGAAAAAAAAAACTTAGCATATATAAAAACCAATTATTTTATCATACAAATATCATTCATCTTTTCCTTTGTCCATACACATAGATACAATATTTGTGCATGTATACACATATAAACACAAAAATATAATTTAAGATCCTTTGAATATGTGAATATAGTTTTTATATAGATAGTCTGATGGTATGCTGTACTTACCAACTTTTATTATTTTTATTTTTTAGAGAGAGAGTACTTTAATATTTATTTTTTAGTTTTCGGCAGACACAACATCTTTTATTTGAATGTGGTGCTGAGGATTGAACCTGGGCCGCACGCATGCCAGGCGAGCACACTACTGCTTGAGCCACATCCCCAGCCCTATTTACCAACTTTTAAAAATCACATATGGGGCTGGGGTTGTGGCTCAGTTATAAAGCGCTTGCCTTTCATGCGTGAGGCACTGGGTTCAATCCCCAGCACCACATTAAAAAAAAAAAAAGAACTAAATAAACAAAATAAAGGTATTGTGTCCATCTGCAACTAAAAAAATATTTTAAAAATTCATTTATGTTCATATTTCATCTTCACCTGAATAGTCATGAATATAATAACACCACATTATTGAAAATATACTTAGAAAATTTCAGCTTTGTCTGAGTACTACCATTTTCCAAAGTGGTAGAATGGAAATTAGAATGACTAACAAGACCCCAAATATGAAAATCTCTAATTTACCAAGATTCTATGAATTCTCGAGGTCATACAAAAGGGAGTATATTAGTTTCCTATGGCTGCCATAACAGAAGTACTTAAAACTGATTGGCTTAAACAATAGAAATATATTATCTCATAGCTCTGGAGGCTAGAAGCCCAAGATTAAGGGTTGGTTTCTTCTGAGGACTATGAGGAAGAATCTGTTCCATATGTCTTCCCAAGTTTCTGGTGGTTTTCTGATGTTTCTTTGCTAATAAGTGTATCACCTTTACCACTGCCTTCATGTTAACAGGGAGCTTACCCTGGCTGGGTAGGTGTGTCTGTGTCCAAATTTCCCATGTAATAAGGACATTAGTCATATCGGATTTGGGGCCAAATCTACTTCAGTAGGACCTCGTCTTAATTAATTACAACTGCTATGACGCTATTTCCAAATAAGGTTCCATTCTGAGGTATAGAGAGTTAAGATTCCAACAAATGAACTTGAGGAAACACAATCTAACCCATAATGGGGAGCAAATATCAGTGCTGATGTGATGAAATGGAAAGATTCATCAGAGAATTTGTTTTCCAGTCCCAATCTGTTGAAATTGAGACAAAGAAGGGGGCTTCTACAATGATGTCAAAGCATTGCTGAGAAATGACTTAAAACATGAAGTTTTAAATTAGGTTCTTGATTGTTAAAAAAAAAAAAAAAAAAAAAACTTTTCAAAACTCAAAAGAGAGCCCTTGCTATAGGTTTTAGATATGGTTTGAGTAAGTCCTATAAAAGTTCATATGCTAAAAGCTTGGTCGCCTGTGTGGTGGTGTTGAGGTGGTAGAACTTCCAAGAGTTGGGGCCTAGTGGAAGGTACTTAGGTTATGGGCCACCACCCCAGAGAGGCCTGATGTAGTTCTGACAGGACTGAATTTGTTCTCAGGAGACCAGTTGGTTATAAAGCCGGACATCTCACATGCTTGGCCCCTTCCACCTATGATTGTATCCCTTTCTGCTTCTCTACCATGTTGTGATGAAGCTGAAGGTGGGGGACAGTTCACCAAAGCTGGCTTGTCAACCACAGAATCATGATCCACATAGATCTCTTTATACATTACTCAGAATCAGGTATTACCCAGAATCAGGTATTGTTATAGCAGCACAAAACAGTAAGACAGACATTTTAGTAGGACTACAGTGTAAAGAGGCTCAACACATCTTATTTGCTATAACATAGCGTTATAGGACTACTGTCTCAGGGCTGGGATCCCTCTCAGCCTTTTTGAAGTTGCAAAACCCAACACACCATGCTTGTTTATTTGATGTTGTAATACCGCCATTATCTCCTTTCCCCATCCCAAACCCAGAGGAACTGCCAAAAATAGATTTACTTTTAAAGACTGATTTGGTTTTTCAAATTTCACCACATCTAAGATCCCATTACACTCTCTGACAAGGAGGTAAGCAAGAGCCAATGGCCACTAGGAACCAGAAGGGCTGAAGGACAGAACACATAGGGACATACCATAAGGACAACCACAATGAAATTATGAACTATTATTTTTTATTCCCACCTTGCACTATCTTAGATCACTTTCACAATAGCAAACCTAGAGAACTGGAAGTCAGAGTTACTGAAAATAAAATCAACACTATTTGGAATAAGGGATGGTAGGTTTATGGGTGGCTATTTTTATAGGTGATATTAATTTATTCTCTACACTTTTTTCTATTTTCATCATTTTCTACTATAAGGCCACTGTTAATCCAAAATAGTAATAATAGATTTGAAAGATGAGTAAGTTCATTCCTTTGCTCAATACATATTCATGAGTACTTACCACATGCCAGGCATGACATAGTGGTGAAAACAAGATAGTCCTGTCCTATGGCAGTTCCACTGGAGAGGTAATAAACCATTTGTCCTTCAATGTCAAAAATTTACTTTGGGCAGTTGTTTTGTTTTGTTTTGTTTTGTTTTGAGAAGGGAAGATGGAGGTAGAAATTGCACTGTGCTGGGGATAACATGTGCCCCCCAAAACAAAACAAGGCTGAATCGAGAGGTTTGAGGGTCCATTCAAGCCCACTTGGTCGGTGCCTAGATTTTATTACAAGCTGGCTCTTGGAGTCAGCTGCATCTTCTTTGGGCCAAGCCTGCCTCTTGCATTTAATTACCTCCCCCTGGGACAATTGTGAGAATTACCAACAGCAGAGTACTCCTGGTAGAGGTGGGACTGAGAACAGCACAGGTCATACCGCTGACGTCAGGACTTCAACATATCTTTTTGTGAGGGAAAACACAAGTCAATCCATATTGTCTTGTATTGTATGATACAATACTAAGAAAACTAATAATAATGGCAAACTCTTCTTTGTCCCTCTCCAAGTCAGGCAGTGTTTTAGATGTGTTGCATATTTTAACAAATTATTTCCCTCATTTTGCTGACAAGGAAATCAAGGCAAAGCAAATTTAAGCTATTTCCTTAAGTTTACACAGCTAATGAGTGGTGGAGCCAGGCTTTAAACTCAGGCAACTTGGATCCAGAGATTCAATCTTCTTTTTACACTGCAAATTTTTATGTATATTGTGATGCCATCAATATTAAAATACATTAAAAAATTATAGAACAAAAACCCACTGAATAATTTACAAAAAATGAAAATAGTTTGTTTTTAGGAGAGGGGTTGTTTTTTACAGTGTTACATTACTAGTGCTGTATAAATACACACATATATGCATGCTTTTATGGACATTTTTGAAAACAGAAAATGTTTTGAAAAAGTCTGCAATTTAGAAAAATTTGTAAGGATTCCATAATCAGAAAAGAGTGATTATTAACCTTAGGGACAGCCAGTCTTCAACATGGTCTCAATGATTCCAGTCTTCTGGGACTCTTAGGTGCTGTTCCCAACATTCAGTAAGGGCTGACTTGTGTGACCAATAGAACTATTGTGGAAGTGATGGCATGTGGCTTTTCAGACAAAGATCAGAGACTTTAAAGCTTTCACCTTGACCTCTTAGATCTTTTGACCTGGGAAAAACCAGCTACCATGTCATGAGGACACTTGGCACCAGCATCCCCTTGCCCTCTGTGTAAGTGTGTCACCTTAGAAGCAAACTCTTAAGCCGCTGCCAACCTCTTGGTTGCAACCTCAAGGGAGACACACATACATGACCATGAACGAAGGAATGTGGACAGCTTCTAGAAGTTCCTCCAGAGGAAAAATGTTTGACTTTAGCCCATAAACCCATTTCAGACTTCTGATCTCACGAACTCTTAATTTTTTCAGCCAGTACATTTGTGGTAATTTGTTACAGCAGCAATAGGAAACTAATACACTCAAAAACTCTGAGGGTAATAAATAATTATTGTTTTTTAAAGACTCTAAGTTTTGGGGGCAATTTGTTATACAGCAAGAGATACCACTATACAATCCATCATTCACAGTAACTTGAAATTACAGGTCAAATGATAAGAGGGCTGTTCTTGATCTCTCCATCAGATCTGTTCAAATACATCGATTCATTGATTCTTCTGGATTCATCTTTCTCAATCAACCCACCTCAACATTCCAGAGTAAAAATCTTCTAGTCTTTAACTTGATATCAGCTAAGGGCAGAGAGGAAGAACTCTCTTCAGAGGGACTTCCTATTTCCCAAGGACTTCACAAGGACTTCAGGACAGCCTATTTCCCAAGCCTCCAACTCCAAAACCTCCTTCTTTGGTTCTCTCTGGGCAAAAGAGGCAGCTGTTGGCAAGGCTACCTGCAAGACATAAATCAGTTTTGGAAGTGCTTTGTCCATGTTAGTGCTTAGCCTTTCCTACTTGAGTGTCTCCCAAATGCCTTTGAGCCATTTACCATACTGCTCTGCCCCCAATAAGGAGCTATAAATCCTTGACACCTGCTCACTACATTCTTGTAGAAAAGTTCTTCTTTCAACAGTTCTAAATGAATGTTTTGACAAGAAAAAGGGTTTTAATTTATCCTCTTCATCACGAGCCTATAGTTACGCTGAAGTCTCTTCATTCCAGAAAAATAACCTCTCTCCATGTTCCATTCCTCCTGGCAATGGCCCTTCCTTCCTAGCAATCCTCTGAAATTGACCTGGCCAAGGTCATTGGCAATCTCCAAACATAACTGACACTTTCCAGTGTTGAACTTACTTAGCTTTTCTGTAATAAAAATTGCGTAGTTACCAGTACATGACATTCACTGAGTATTCTAAGTTTTTGACATCTAGTGACTCACTGCTCTTGGACATTTGATGCTGTTGATCACTTGCTCCTTCTCACATAAGTAATTACATTCATTAAGATCTCTCGAGGGGCTGGGATTGTGGTTCATGGGTAGAGCACTTGCCTGGCATATGCGAGGCCCTGGGTTCGATCCTCAGCACCACATAAAAATAAATAAATGAAATAAAGGTATTGTGCCTAACTACAATTAAAAAAAAAAAAAGATCTCTCAAGTCTACTTTCTTTCCATCCACAATGCCAGACCCTTGACTAGGGGCTACTATCCCTCCAGAACATTCTGGATTGTTATTTCTATAACAAACGTGACTGAGATACTTCCCTGATTGCAAGTCACATCTGGTGGCTCCACACAGCCTGTAGTCTCAAACCTGAAATGTACTCCAATATGCAAGCATTTGTATACACATTATGTGTCTACAAGCCACTAATATATCATTTACACTATCATTCAGATTCAGAAAAAGAAATTCCCCAAAAGATAGCAGTCATAGATTGAGTAGAAGTTCTAAGACTTTTTCCCTATACCACAGTGGAGGTGTGTACACTTACTTGCTTGGAGACCTCAGACCCTCCATGGTAAGTCCAAGGGCAAATCCTGGCTTTCCAGGCTTATAATGATCTGGCTCCTACCTGCCTTTTCGGTCTCTTTCTCTCCCTTTTGTCCTTGCTCCCACTGCTGTGGTCCAAATGGAAGAATTTGAACGTAAATGTCCCAAACCTACCTGCTTTCTGTCTGCTGTTGTCTTCATTTAGAATGTTCTTTTCCTTTTTTTAATATTTATTTTTTAGGTGCAGATGGACACAACACAATGCCTTTATTTTTATGGGGTGCTGAGGATTGAACCTGGGTCCCGCCCATGCTAAGCGAGCACTCTACCGCTGAGCCACAATCCCAGCCCTAGAATGTTCTTTTCTGCCTTGACTCTCCAGGTCCCAGGTCTGTCTGTCTCACTCATTCCTAAAAGTGCTCCTTATCCACCTGCTTCTTCTTAAAGCTGCTTTTGGTTACTTCTGTCTCCATACCCTGTCCATCCACCACATACATCTTTTTCTTCTATTAGGCAGTATTTGCTTATTTGCCTCCCTCATGACACTTTGAGCTTTCTGAGGTCAGGACTATTTTATTATCACAATTATATCCATAGTGCACAATAACAGTAAGAATGGCAAGAATAGTAGCTAATGCATTTATAGTATTCACATGTGCCAGGCACTGCTCTGACTTGTACACACTCTTGCTTATTTAATCCTGTGTGGTAGGTGCAATTATCCCTGTTTTGTAAATGAGGACACTTGGGCACTGAGGGTGGAGTGACTTCCTAAGCTCACCCATATAGCATGTGAGGTTCAGAAAATTTGGAACTACCTTGAACTCCAGGCAGAGAAGGTAGAGGAAATGCTCAGGCTGAGGAGAGCGGCAGGTGTGGCCCTGGGGCCTCCTGCCTGCCAGGCTGCGCTGTCCTAGCCTGGCCTGCACTGCTCCCTGCTGGCCAGCTCTCTCTCCCTGTAGCTCTCCTCTCTCTGCCAGGGCCCCTGCAGGGGAACTAACCTTGCCTTAAATCCCCTCTGCCACCAGAGGTTGTGTCTGGGGTCTGGCAGCAAGTACAAAATATTCGGGGAGGGGAAGAGAGTCAGAAGATCACACAGGGAATATGCAAGGACTTCCCTACATTCACGTCTGAAGGAAAATACTCAAACACTCAAATTGGTAAACTGTCTACCCCCCAAATTCCATAGGATATGCCAAAACTAATAGAAACTTTCATTTTCTAAAAAGAAAGTAGTTACATATTTAATTCTTCTTACGCTAGGCTCTTCTTTAGGACAAAATTGAATGCTAACTTATTGCTATGATTTGGATATGATCTGTCCCCCAGAGGTTCATATGTTGGAAGTATGGTCCCCAGCATGGTAGTGTTTAAGAGGTGGGACCTAGAGGAAGATAGCTAGGTCATGAGGCTCTACCCTCATGAATGAATGAATACACGTCTGGTAGAAGTGCCTAAGTTCCCATGAGAGTAGGTCTTTATAAAAAGAGCAAGCCTGGCCCCTCTCTGATCTCTTGCTTCCTGTCTCACCATGTGATCTCCTCCACATGCACTCCCACCATTGTAATGTCATCTCCATGAGACCCTCACCAGAGCCTAACAGATGCTGGCAGTGTGTTCTTGAGCCTCTGCTGGGTGGAATAACACTCTTTTCTTTTGCAAAGTACCCAGCTTCTGGTATTTTGTTACAGCAATACAAAAAGACTGAGACACTTGAAAAATATACTTACTGGTTCTCAAATAGGGTGCCTAATGAAACTATTCAAAAATACAAATGTGTTGGCTCTGTTCCAAATGGATTCAGTTAGAACCACTCACAGATACTATTTCACTTCAGGATTAAACTCAAGCAACACTTTCCCAAATCCAAAACCTTTATGACCACTTAGCATCTTGTTTTTTCCAGCTAAAGGAAATTCAATGCCTTTATGTTGGAACTTCAGGGGGAAAGTATGCATTGTCTAGAGGACACCCCTCCAAGTTTCCTGATTCAAGTCTGTCATTGTGTTTGAGATGTTCTTCCGTTCTGTAAATTGTAGGTGACTGATGGCAATACAAAAAAACTTCTTTCTCTATACATTCAAATTATATCCTGACTTGTAGAAGTTGAATTGATTTTCCTTTCCCTCTTTGGAAAAAAGCAGTTTTGCTTCCATTTGTACATTCATTTCATCACACTTGACCTATAAGTGGGTCTCTCTTCTTGCAATTGTTTGTGACCTTGTTGTAATATCTGCCTGACTCCCTCAATGAGTATTGAGATGAATAAAATCTTAAACATGGGTTTGTTTCTCTCTCTCTCTCTCTCTCTCTCTCTTTGGTTTTTGTCATTGTTACTGGATTGTTACTGGGGATTGAACCCATAGCTACTTCACCACTGAGCTTTTTATCCCCAGTCCTTTTTATTTTTTAACACAGAGTCTCCCTAAATTTCTAAGGCCTCAAACTTGTGATCCACCTGCCTCAGCCTCCTGAGCTGCTGGGATTACAGGCCTGTACTACTGCACCTGCCTCATTTTTCTTGTTCTGGGAAAATTATCTTCAACATGCAAATAGAAGTACTTTCCTTTTCTGTGCTCTGGCCATCTGCTACTTTGCTTTGGTTGGAATTTACTCAAGGGAATTTCTCAGAAGAGAACTCCTGCCCTTGTTGTGCCCTTCCTCCATATGCATAATATCTACCATGGATTCCTGGAAGAACAGTGGAATAGCCAAAAATCTTTTATTTTTAATTAAAGGCAAAGAGAGATCGGGGCATTGACTCATCACCATCTCTTTTACAAATAAAATAGCATAAGCTAAACCAAAATTAAGTAAACCCAAGAGATTTTCACTGGACTCCCTCAGTGTTCTTTCTTGATCCTTTCTCACTTGTATGGTTGACATTTCATCAACATTTACATGTACTAGAATTGTTTTATTTATAATACCTTTGCATGACGCTGTGGAAAATAAAAAGTACCTGTGATCTTCCTGAGTACACAGAATTAGTCTATAAAAACTATTATCACCTTAACTGGAGCTATTGGCCAGAACACATACACAACAAGTTTTCACGTCACTTGGGATTCCTTATACCATTGTGGCTGGGTTCCAAGGAGGAGCATCCTCAGAGACAGCCAGGAAGAAACTGTACCACCTTCCATGGTGAGCTTCAGAAGTCACTAAGTACATTCTGCTGCATTCTGTTCAGGTCCACCTTTGAGAGGATGAGACCTGGGTAGCCCCTCAGGGCCTCGTGATTTAAAAGGGCCTCTTGTTTCTTTAACACCTTGCTGTCGCCACCTTGAAATTCTTTAATGATATCTGGACCGGAGCCCTTCATTTTCATTTTGCACTGGGCCCCCAAAACTGGGTTGCCAGTTCTGATTTTTTTTTGTCCATGAAGCCACAAAGACCTGCCCAGACTCATAGGGTGGGAATATCAAGTTAGTCTCCTTTTTTAATTGGTGCATTATAATAATACATAACCGTGGGACTCATTATGCCATATTTGACTACCTTTTTGATGAAGCAGCAGATTTCTTGGACTGTTCTTGGAAATACTGTTGTGGCCTTTTTTTAGAAAATGCTACCTGCCACAGAGGATTGATTTATGGAGAAGTTAAGACAAAACAGGACATTTAAAAAACTTTCCTCCAATTTATAAACTTCCCAGCCTCTGCAAAGACACCTTTGGGTCCTCCCTGCTCCACAAAACCCTCCTAAAGAGAAGCAAAGGCAGCTGAGCCCAGTAGCACATGCCTGTAATCTCAGAGACTCGGAAGGTGGGAGGAGAATCACAAGTTCAGGACCAGCCTTAGCATTTAGTGAGACGCCGTCTCAAATTTTTTAAAAAAAGGCTGAGGATGTAGCTCAGTGGCAAAGCACCCATAGATCAATCCCAATACCAAAGAAAGAGAGACAAAGGTGATATCAAAGTGTCCTTATATCCATTCAACAAATCCTGATTGAGTGCACACTGGGGGAGCATTTATAAATGACTCAGAGACCTTGTCCTCAATAGGCTGGGGCAAGAGTCCCAGCAATGGCTGGCACAAATGAAAGGAGAAGAGAAAACAGAAGGTAAAGGACCAAGAACCCTGAGAACAAAGTCCTAGGGATGTCCAAGAGAGCCAGCTTCCTGGAGACATGGCATCTGTGTGGCCCCTCCCATTCATTCAACAACATCATTCATTCGTTCACTGAACAAGTATCATGTACGCCATTTGTAAGTTCCCACCCTGGTGGAGCTTGCTTTACAAGGTACACACCTGTTTGTCTCATCTATATCTGATTTAAATGACTTTTGGCTTTAGACTTTTGAATTTGGGCTGGAACAAGAACTTGGGGATTATTGAGATGGAGTGGCTATATTTTGCTTGTGCAAGGGACATGAATTTGGGGAAGGGATGTCATGGTCTGGATGTTGGTATCCCTAACAAAATTTATGTTGAAATTAATATCCAATGTGTTAGTATTAAGAGATAAGATCTCAAGCTGGGGGTGTGGCTCAGTGATAGCACACTCGCCTGGCATGTGTAAGGCACTGGGTTCGATTCTCAGCACTACGTATAAATAAATAAAGGTCTATCAACAGCTAAAAAAAAATTTTATTAAAAAGATATAGGGTCTCTGGGGGAGTGATTAGTCATGAGGCTCCACCCTCATGAATGGGATCAGTGCCCCTGTAAAAGAGGTCGGAGGTGGCTGCCTTTCCCTATCTGCCCTGGAAGGACCAGGGAAGGCAGCACCTAGGATATGGAACTGGAGGGTATTATGTTCAGTGACATAAGCCAGACACAGAAAGATAAATGCCGCATGTTGACTCATATGTTAGAATAAAATCGATCTCAAAGGCAAGAGCAGAATAGTGATTATAAGAGGCTGGAAAGGTTAGGGAGGCAGAGGATAGAGGATAATGGGATAATGGTACCAACATTCAGTTAGATCAAAGTAAGTTCTAGCATCCTACAGCACAGTAGGGAGACTGCAGTCCACTACCGGATACTGTATAAAAACTAGAAGAGAGGAATTTAAAGATTTCAGACACAAAGAAATAATGGAAGTGTTAATTATCCTGATTTAATTTTCCTGATTGCATCTTATAACATTACTCCATGGATACATACAATTATTATGTATTATTTTTAGGAATTTTGAGCCAGTCTTTAAACCAATTTTTCTCGAAATTGGACATGGGAGAGCATTTATGCCATGACAACGGAATACTGAGCTTAGGATTTTAGAGCTGTTTTATGTCAAAATAAATGACATTTATTTATTTTTTATCATTGTTGCTTTGTTTATTATTTATTACTGGAATATTTTAACAATTTAAGTTTTTCAATGCATCTTAATTATACAAAACAATGGGGTTTTGTGGCACATTCATGCATGCAAATAACACATGTGATCATATATGATCCCCTCTCCCTGATCGTCTCTCCCTGACCCCCTTCCACTTCTCTAATGGTCTCCTTGCTTCTTTCACAACATCTTTTCCTCCCCCTAGATTCCACATATGAAGGAAAACAAAACCCTTGTCTTTCTGTGTCTGGCTTATCTTGCTTAACATTATGATCTCCACCCCCGCCCATTTTCCTACAAATGACATAAGTTCATTCTTCTTTATGACTAACACTGGGTTGTGTATATGTTCACCGCATTTTCTTTATCTATGCATCTATTGCCGGCATCTATTCCACAAGATGTCTATTGTGAATTCTGCTGCAGTAAGCATGGGTATGCTGACTGTAATTCTTTTGAGCATATAACGAGGAGTGGCCTAGCTAGATCTTGTGGTGGTTCTATTTTTAGATTTCTGAGGCACCTCTGTACTGATTGACTAATGTATTAATGTACATTCCCTCCATAGGTATATAGGGTTCTTTTCCCCCCTGCATCCTCTCCAGCTTTTATTGTTTTGTTGTTGGTGGTTTTGTATTCTTAGGTGAAAGCCATTCTGACTGAGGGGAAACAGAATCACAAAGTAATTCTGATTTGCATTTCCTAGATGGCTAAAATTTAGAACATTTTTTTTCGTATAATTATTGACCATTCTTACTTATTTTGAGAAGTGTCTGAAGAAAAGATATTTCTGATGGGCTTAACAAACCTTTGGAGGTACATTTGCAGCATGAGGAATTCAGTCATTGCTGTCTGTCACCTTCGGACAAGTATCAGGATGGTCAGGATACGTTTTGCGCTTCTTTGCATTGTATGACGTTTTTGTATATTTTAAAAATCGAATGAAAAAATACTTCGGAGATGGAAAGTCCTGCGTGGTGATAACCACCCACACGGTGACGGCCGCAGCTGGCTGACCAGGGGAGGACACTCAGTCCTTGGGGCACGCGCACAGGTGAGCGCTCCCAGGCCAGCTGCGCGTGCGCACAGGTGTGCTGCCGCCCTCCCTGCCGCTGAGTTTGGCCTCCAGCCCGGGAAACTTGTCGCTCTCGGGCGGGGACACGGAACCGGGCCATGGAAGATTCGCTGGGGACTCGCGAGCCCCGGGTTCGACCGAGAGAACGGGACCCGGACCGGCGCCCCCGCCCGGACCGAGACCACCACCCTGAGCGACCGCGGGACAGAGCCGGGGACCGGCGCAGGGAAAGGAATGGGGACGACGCGCGGAGGGACGGGGACCGGCGAGGGGATCGAGACAGGGACCGGCGAGAGGATCGGGACAGAGGGAGGGACCGAGACCCCCACCAGGACAGACACAGGGACGCGGGCCGTCGCTCAAGTGAGCAAAGAGGTTGGGAAAAGTCTCGCCAAAGCCGGACGCGGAACACAGCCCCGAGACCCACCTGGGACACAACTCGGGGACCGACCTGGGAGGCAGCCCCACCCCCTTGGCCCGGGCCTTGGGAAACCCCGGAGCCTCCCGCCCCGAGGAAGGAGAACTTCGGTCGCCATGCACCACAAAGGTGAGGGGACTGCTGGAGACACGGGGCCCTGCGACCACGGCCAAGGCCAATCTGCGCTGCCCTGGCTTCCTAGAAAGCCCATTTAAAAGAGGAAATACAATTTCTCTCTTTTGTGCCCTCGGAAGTGACCCTGGAGAGAAAGGAAAGCGTAGGGTGTCCCCACCAATCCCAGATAAAGCAGAAAGCACTCCTCTTGGCAGTGGCAGGGCTGGGACCAGGTAAAGAGGAAGAGGGCCCCAGGACAGGAAAAGCCAGGTTCACGTGAAGCTCTTCCCTGACACCATTCCCTACCCTATCAGGACCGCCCCTTAGGGCTTCAGACCCTGACTCTTCTAACTCTCCTCTTCCTTCTTCCCTTCCTCCTTTAATTCTTCTTCCTCATCCTCTTGTTCTGGGGATTGAACCCAGGGGCGTTTTTCCCCTGGGCCACATTCCCAGTCTGCCGTTTTAAAAAAAATGTTTGAGACAAGGCCTTGCCAAGTTCCTGAGACTAGCCTTGAACTTGCCACCTGTCAGCCTCCTGAGTTTCTGGGCTTACAGTCAAGCACCACCATACAGCTCCTCCTCAACTTTCAAAGTCCTGGTCCCTGGTGTCCAGGACCAAATAAAGTCAGCCCCATGAAGAGTTAATAATTTAACATGTTACCCCTTTAGGGCTATATGCATTTCAAAAACAGCTGGGAGAGAAGCTACACTTTTAACCAAGGAACTAAATCTACCTAAACTTTGTTCACGGAAGGACATAGATTTGTTTCCTTCTCGTCAGTGAGGTCTTCAAGGCAGCCTCTTTCAAATCTCACATTGAGACCCCACCTTCCTTAATGAACAAACTTTGCTATCCCTACCTTGAAGAACAAGGAATTCCCATAAGCTCCGGTAGAACAAAGATCATGATGTTCTGGAAGATCATGTGCGCTAGGGGAGAGTGGAGATGGAAGAACCAGGCCACCCCTTGTCCTCATGTGCCCTTCTAGGAAGCTAACATTTCATCCAAATTCACAAATGTTACTGAATGTGCAAATAATGTGACCAGTGCTGTGGACTGAATAGATAGGATATTGTTCCTGCCATCCCCAACAAGGAGGCACACAGATCCTGTGGCAATGATTGCCTCCTGCTTTTTCATACACAGCTTCCACTGAGGGACTCAAAAGCTGAGCCCAGTCTCTCGCAGTTGTGTCCACACAGCTGTAAAGCTACTATCCTGAGTTTATGTTACATTATCTAAAACCAACTAGTATGACAAAGGTTGAGCCCAGATTGGCACTAGCTATTGTTTCTCTGACTAAAGCCACATTGTACAGCAACTGCACGACTAGGAAAATTGAGGGCTGCCTTTTTAAGTTTCCTTATAAACTAGAGTCCCAGTTCCCCCACCCCAAAGCGAGTGAAGGAAATACTTTCATTTTTCGCTTCTTTTGCTCACCACCAATTGGAGGTTTGAAACCAAAGGGCAATTTATTCCTGTCTATTTTCTACTTAAGCATTTATTTAATGGATAGGTTGGCGGGACAGGGCTGCAGAGATCTACCCTCTTAGTGTTCACAGCCTGGTATACGAGAATGACAGGTCAGCAGGTCAGATGCAGCACAGTGTGAAATGGGCTGCAGGAGAAACTTGGATTAGGAAAGAACAGAGCTGGGCTCCTGAGCAGGCTCAGGCAGGCTTTCCAGAGGAAGGACCACAAGCTGAGTTCTAGAGAAGCAATAAGAAGGGGAAGGCTGAAGGAGGAAGGTGGAAGGTGTTTTAAGCAGAGGAAGTGTCTGCAGTGACCCAGAGGCATGGGAGAGCATGTCATCTTTTGGGGCGAAGGTCAGTTTCACTGAGTCTGGGTCTGTGAGCCTGAGGCTATAAGTGTAGAGAAATAAGCAAAGGCCTACTGTGCAGTACTAAATGTTTAAGGATTTCAAATCTAAGGTAAGTTCTGTGTTCTAGAAAGATCCCTGGAGCCTAGCAAGTAGAATGTAGCCTCCTATTGAATCTTAGAACCCAGAATGTGCTAGATAAATGTGGGAGAAAGAAGATAGAAAGTGCCAGGATTGGTGGAGGAAGAGAAGATAGGAAGATCTCAAAAGTTGTTTGTAGCTCCCATCTTCTTGGAGAATTTCCACAGTAACCACAGACAGAAGAGCATGCCAACCTGGACTCCATAGTCTTGTAAATACACACTAGTTCTGAGAGGCCTAGTCCTTGCCGAACTGAGAACCTCAACTCTTAGAGGCAGCTCCCAGCTCCCTCCCTGGTTAGGCAGCTTCCACAGGCAGATGACCTAGCATCCAAGGCAGCACTTAGGTGTTCAGGATTACAGGATCGGTCTTGGGGTTAACTAGCCGTGTTGGGTCACATGTTTAGATGTTTGGTGGTGTCACTAAACCAAAGAAGCCTCTGGAGTCTGAAATACTGTGGCAGAGCTTGTTTCTGTTCTGCACATTCTGTAACTTTCAGGCCCATGGCGAAGAGTCAAGAGTTCTAATACCGACTGAGCCACTGAATTGGAGGCCCATTCCTAATGGCTGTGTGTGCTTTTCAGTTATAGTGAACCCACCTCGGGGAGATATGTGCCCTCGCACCCCAGGCCTGGACTAGAGGAAGTGGAATATTACCAGTCGGAGGCGGAGGGGCTCCTGGAATGTCACAAATGCAGATACCTGTGCACAGGGAGAGGTGAGCCTTTATGGAGTCTGTGTACTGTTTGCTGTTGCAAGTGGTCTGAAAGTGGGGGACAGACTTTCCTTTGGGGTTCTAGTGTTTTCATTTCCATACCTATCTGAGGTTCTTGCTTTCCAAAAAAAAAAGAAAGAAAGAAATAGAAACTATTTTATGAGCTATCATTCTCCAGACAAGAAACCAGAGAAAAAAAGTGATTTTTAAGAATACCCATAGCACTCATATAAATATGCCCTGTGCAGAGAAACGTTGGACCCCTCGCATTTTCATCTCCATACCTGCATGAGGTTCTGTCTCTCTGAGCAAAGGAAAGTGTAGAACAGGCTGCTCTCCTGGAGCACTGAGCAGCCATGTTTGCAGTTTCCAGACTCCAGGTGGAGCCCCAAGGGCTGCAGGTGCAACTGGCCATGAGCTGCCAGGTGTTGGTGGGGGCTTCTCTGACAATGTAGCTGAGTTTGGAGAGAAGAAAAATCACCCCAGTGGGCCATCAGGTTGCAGCCCAGACCACATAGACAGGAGCAAATGGTCTTCTTGGAGCCCTGACGCCCAAATACTTCATCAATAGCTTTTGATCACGCCATTGGCTGAGATGCACTGTAAGAAATACATTTTACATTAAGACCAAGTTCACACGCACAAACAAAAATGCCATGAAACTCCACTTGCCTTACTACATATCAAACACACTGGTATTTTCTGTTTTATTGGAAGCAAAAACCAAAAAACCTATTTATTGAGTACATGAAGTCTGCAAAACACTGAGCTGATATTAAGTGTCAGCTCTCAGGGTTCTCATCTTAGCATGGGTCCTGCCTGAGCCAGCAATGAAGAAAATCTGGTTCATCAGGGTGAGCCCTAATGGCATGTGGGATTTGTAAGCAATCTTCCTGGGCTACATATAAATTAGGGAGAAAACAGCCCAGCCCAAGGGAAGAGATCATGGAGCTCCTAACTGAAAATGTATCTTAGGGTGATTACGAAGATGTACATGATTATAGGATTATAAGGAACTTTAATGAAAGGCCTCTAGGCAATCCCAGTTAGGGATCATTATCTTAATTTACATGTGTTGGTGCAGCCTCCTTGCCTTTTAAGTCTCTCAACAACTCCTGAGGCTCAGAGAGGTACAACAAGTCATCCAAAGTCACACAGCTGTTACGTGAAGGAGCTATGATGGAAATTTAGAACCTGACCCTAAGTCCTCAAGTAGTTTACTTGCTTAGTTTCTTCTTTTCTTGATCATGTAAATAACAGGAACAAGCCAGAGGCTGGCTAACAGGTTTCTCCCTAGAGACATTTTTCTTTTGAGATTGATTTACCAAGAGGAAAGGGCAGGGCTTAGGGCCTCAGACTGAAACAGACCCTGTGGTTTAGGCTTCATTGCTTCTGGCACTTTGGCTTTGAGCCTGAAGGTTGGGTTTCTAAGTCAAGGTAGTGAAAGAATAGTTCAGCCTCCAGAAACTAACAAATGAGGGCTTGAAAGGAACTCTGGATGGACAGAGACCCATAGAAATACACAATACAGCATTGTGTTGAGAGAAACAACCATTGAACACCGGGAACTTGACTCAAGCAGGAAATACATGCCTGGATAAAGGTCAGCTGAAGCTCTTTAGACCCACCTTAGAGTAGATCCTCTGTGACTTCCTTATCAGTGAAGTCATGCCCCACCCCCAACAGACTTGCAAAAATTGGGAACAATTGTAGCCCTCCTTCTCTTTCTAGGGAGACTGGGCTGAAATCTGGGCTGTGATCTAACTCAGAAAGCTCCATGGATTACTAGGAGGCCAACAAAAAGAGGCAGGCCCCAGATTTACTTTTACAAGCAAGAATTCTCTGATACTAAAAGCTTTTAGTATAGAGATCAGACTGAAGCCAAGTCACATGCACATATCAGGCCACCAGAGAATCCTGTGCATGTGTAGGTTGTGCTCCTTTATTATTGAGAGGGATGGGTAAGCCCGGCAGGAAGGTGCATTTCCCGGCTCCTGTTTGCACCCCGCAGCTTCTCCTTTCCCTTTTGTTTTTTCCCTTGTGCTCAAATCATGGGGTTTGTATTCAGCCTCTCACCTTAACTGCAAAGCACGTTTCAAAGGTTAATCTTCAGCCAGGCACTGGTGGTGCCCACCTGTAGTCCCAGCTACTTACTTGACGGCTGCGCAGGAAGATTGTTTGAGCCCACAAGTTCAACAGCCTGGGCAGCTTAGTGAGAGTTACCCGCCCCTCCCCCCCCAAAAAAAGGGTTATTTACTCCACGACAGTTGTCATTTCTAGAGTCAGTAGTGCTGATCTCTCATTCAGAGTCTTGAGGTGTAGGTGCTGAGTGTTCCGAGTTTGTTTTTCAGAGGAGCGATTTCCTGACAAGGAACCTGAGCTGGAGGAGTTGCCAGCACAGTCCATCCTGGGCAGGAGGGGAAGGACAGGGGGCCCTAAAACTTTGTGATGGCCCTAAAAAGGTTCAGGGTAGAAGTTGTGGTCGTTTTCTAGTTTATGCTCACACTCCCCTCTTTTTGTGTGTTCGGAGCTCCTGCAGTCCCCTTTATCCTAATGCTTATTGAACACCCTGTGCAGAACCTGTCTGCACTGAGATCAGATCAAGATTTCAAACTGCAGCTGACTTTAACAGTGTTAACTGATTAACAGATCTGAATGCCATGGCCAGAGTCCAAGTAAGGAGTGACCCTAGGCGAACTGCCGAGGGTTTTTTTTTTTTTTTTCTGGTTTTATTTTGTCTTTTGTGCGGTATTGGGGACTGCATCCAGGTACCCTACACTGAGCTACATCTCTGACCCCTTTCATTTTGAGACAGCGTCTCACTAACTTGCAATCCTCCTGCCTCAGCCTCCCAAGTCACTGGAATTACAGGCACGTGCCACCCTGCCAGCTGAACCTCTGGTTCTTAGGGCAGAGAAAGGTGCTGGCTCAGAACCATATTCCCTGGAGTTCTGAGAGGGCCGTCAACCCCAAGGAAAGCCTGGGAGCCTCTGGGCTTTATTTTAAGGGTGCCATTGGCCATTTCCACAGCCCGAGGCATTCTTTTGTGGTTACACAAAAGTTTTTTTTTTTTTCTTTTTTTAAGAGAGAGTGAGAATTTTTTAATATTTATTTTTTAGTTTTTGGCAGACACAACATCTTTGTTTGTATGTGGTGCTGGGGATCGAACCTGGGCCGCACGCATGCCAGGCAAGCACGCTACCACTTGAGCCACATCCCCAGCCCTACACAAAAGTTTAAAAGAGGAATAAAGGGTTTGGTGGGGGCTGTAGTCCTTCTAACATTCTATTAAGAAATTCCTTTCATACAGCAACATGCTGGGAAAGCCTAAATGTCCCTTACATTGCAATGATTCAATTGTGGCCATCATATTTTTTTTTCTTTTTTTTTAAGAGAGAGAGAGCGAGAGTTACTGCTTGAGCCACATCCCCAGCCCATCATATGTTTTTTAAGGTTATGAAGTAGATTTATATTTACTGAGATAGAAAAATATTCATACTATATTCTTAAGTGGAAAAATAGGTCATACAATAGTAGATAAAAGCAAACAAACAACAATAAAAATTATGAACATGTGGTACAAAAGTCTAGAAACTAAATTGTCCACCAGGCACTATGGCATACACATATAATACCAAAGGATTGCAAGTTCAAGGCCAGCCTCAGAAACTTAGTGAGACCCTGTCTCCAAAGGCCAAGTGGGGTGGTGCATATCTGTAATCCCAGTGTCTCGGAAGGCTGAGGCAGGAGGATCTAAAGTTCAAAACCAGCCTCAGCAACTTAGTGAGGCCCTAAGCAACTTAGTGAGACCCTGTCTCTAAATAAAATATAAAAAAGGGGCTGGGGAGGTGGCTCAGTGGTTAAGTGCCCCTGGGTTCAATTCCAGTACCAAAGTAAATAGCTAGCTAGCTACATAGATAGATAAATAATAAAAATAAAAAATACTGGGAGGTAGCTCAGTGGTGGAATGCTTGCCTAGCATGCTCAAGAGGCCCTGGGTTCAATCCCCAGTACCATACACACCCACACATACATACCACATATATATGTATGTGTGTGTGTGTGTGTGTGTATAAATATACACACACATGTGTATAATTAAAAAATCAATATATATTATATATAATGTTCACAGTGGTTAATTTATTTCTCTTATTTACATTTCCTTTCTTTCAATAAGTTTTATAATTAAAGAAAAACAGTGATATTATTTGCATTTGGACAGAGAGTTACAAGTGAAGATGGCATTTCAATTAAAGAGTACCATCATTTCAATTAAAGAGTACATTGATGTCACACAGGAAATAGGCCAGCTGGAAGCAGGCCTATTTCCCTTGCAGCCAGGGAAAGGCCACTGGGCTGATCCCAGAGCGTACAGTGCCAGCTCAGAAATACCAACTTTCTATTGTGCTGAGCAAAAGAAGCCAGAGTTCATGAAAGTACATTACTGTATAATTCCAGGTACATGACATTTAAGATAAAACCAACTTCTAATCAGAGGAAGCAGGTCAGAGGCTGCCCAGGGAGGAGGAGAGGAGTTGACCACAAAGTGCTCCTAGGGAAATTCATGTGCTCTGTATCTTGATTATGGTCACACTTGTCAAGACTCATCAAGCCAGTACACTGAAAATGAGACATTTTATTGTGTGTAAGTTGTATCTCAATAAAGTTGATTTTAAGGAGAGCAGATACCTTCCCTAGTCCAAGATAAAGAAGCCATGGGCACTGAAGGAATTGAACTCTGGGGAAATATTCCAGCCCAAATGATTACTCTTTAGGAAAACTAAATAAAATGAAATTAAACTTTAAGACATATTTATGGAGTTGAAATCCAGAAGTAGTTTCTTTAATCCAGTAAGTATCCTAAAATCAATTAACTTAATCTTTGATATTTTTAATAAGCGAAAAACCACAGTCAACATTTTTTTTACTGCTTACCACTGAGCTCACTCCCAGGCCCACAGACATTTTTTTTTTCCTAGTTGTTGATGGATCTTTATTTC